ATTCATTATAATTAAAGTAAAATTTTTAGATGCTACGGTCATTTTTTTAAATTTGTTTGTACATTTCATATCTTCTTTCGAAATAGAAATGATGGAAAATTGACAAAGTAATACTTCATGTATAAAACTAATATAATATATATATATATATATATATATATATATATATATATATTAAAAAAATAATAAAATACATGTATCATACACGTAACTAGACCTAATGATAATAATCAATACTAAAACTCCTAACCATTGGATAATAGATATGCTAAATAAAAGTGAGGGCCTCTATGAATTAAAAATAAGGGTAAAGTATAGTAATGGTCATTGAACTTTTCTAAAGCTTTCATTTAGGTCCCCTAACTTTTAAAACTTGCAATACAATCCTCCAATATTTAGTTCATTTGCAATATGGTCCCTCAATGGTTACTTCAGGGACCATATTACAAATAGACTAAATGTTGGGGGATCATATTGCAAACGGACTAAATGTTGGGGGATTGTATTGTAAGTTTTAAAAGTTGGGGGACCTAAATAAAAACTTTAGAAAAGTTTAGTGACCATTACTATACTCTACCCATTTATTAATTTTAAATTTTATTCTTATATAATTTTAAATTATTTTTTTGAAAAATATGAAAGTATGAAAAAATAAAAGATATTCTTATAATAATATCTATTATTATTTGAAAATATAACATCAATTCAATCAATAATTAAAAGTAAATAAAACTTTATGTGTATTAGTCTTTTCATCCCATAATATAGATGGAAAAAGATCAATTTTGTTAAGCAATTGAAGGAAAATATTTAATGTCAAAAAACTATTATATTTAATGTTATGATAATGATCAATCACCTCACACGTAAATGAAAATTCCATTTTATTTAGAGGTTTTAAATTTAAACAAGGGTAAAGTATAGTAATGGTCATTGAATTTTTCTAAAGCTTTCATTTAGGTCTCCCAACTTTTAAAACTTGCAATACAATCCCCCAATATTTAGTCTGTTTGCAATATGGTCCTCCAACAGTTACGTCGGGGACCATATTACAAATAGACTAAATGTTGAGGGACCATATTGAAAACAAACTAAATGTTGGAGGATTATATTGAAAGTTTTAAAAGTTGGAGACCTAAATGAAATATTTAGAAAAATTCAGTGACTATTAATATACTTTACCCTGAAAATGACTACTGATCAATAGCATTAGGCCCAGTACAGTTACTCACGACATGGTTCCAGACCCACTGAACCAAGTACCTCCGTTTGATTCCATCATGTTATACGTGGCGCCATCTTTACCCTTCAATACATGTCCCATGTAAGGCACATCACCTACGGTTCCATAAATACCCTCGCATATATCCACTATTTCCAAACGACCCACCTCTTGCCCCGAGTACCAAGCGTTTCCAAGTGGGTCGGTGGCCAGCTCGGCCACCTCGTGTCCGATAAAGCTTATCATCCCGTCCACTCCCACGTCACCGTTGGGTGGTTTTAACGCCTTGAACCCCGGCATGTATTCTGGTACGGAGAAAGGGAAAGCACATGTTTGCGGGCAAAGCTTTGCTGAGTTACCCACCCATGCGTATAGGAGCGTGTACCTGTTTTCCACGTCAAACTGTGGAACCCACAAATCTGGCTGCAAAAATTCTGCACGTGCACGTCAACGGATGTGAGCAAGAGGTACAGCCCGCTCTTGGTAACCGGCAACGGTTTCGTGCCAGCTGTTACAGCGCTTCTTATCACGTACTGCATCGATGAGCGCATGAGGGACTTTCTGTGGTAGAAAAAGCAATCATTTTCCTCCGCTAGGAGAACCCTACGGGGAACGTTGGCGCCCGTTTTGTCCGTGTATAGCTGCATGGGTTTGTACCTTTGTTTGCATGTTGGCTAGCTTTTTTATCTTTGCCATGCATGACAAAGAAACAAGCCTGCGTCCCGTGTTACAATAATAGGTGATAGGTGCTAACTAGGAATGTAATACTTAGATATATAGGCCTCAATAATTGTTAGAATAATAGAGCTTAATGGGTATATGATAGATATCTGACCCTAAATGAACGTGATAATAAATTGGCCCTGCATCAGTGTTTGATAAAACAAGGAAGAAGCCCTGGTTACCGCCCTTATGGAATCACGAAGCCTTCAAAATTATGATTTTTTTATGTTACGTTTGTTTATGTTAAAATATACAGTTTAACGATTATATAAATTTTGAAATTATTTGTGAATATATAAAAAATAGGGTAAAGTATAGTAATGGTCACTGAACTTTTTTAAAGCTTTCATTTAGGTCCCCAACTTTTAAAACTTGTTATATAATTCCCCAACATTTAGTCTGTTTGCAATATGGTCCCTCAACATTTAGTCCGTTTGCAATATGGTCCCTGATGTAACTGTTGGGGGACCATATTGCAAACAGACTAAATGTTGGGGGATTGTATTGAAAGTTTTAAAAGTTAGGGGACCTAAATGAAAGCTTTAGAAAGTTCAGTGACCATTACTATACTTTACCCTTTAAACAATTGTATCTATAGAATGGATATGCTATCAATTAATTAAGAAAGTTTTGAACATATATTATTTTGTAATCACTCCACATTATCCAAAAAAAATGTTAGAGTAACGATTTTTAAAAGTTCTATCTAAAAATTATCAAATATAAAATTACAAAATTATTATAATAATATGTATTATTACTTTAAAAATATATTTTTATTGTTTTTATTCCGTTTTGATACTCAAATTTTATTTTTTAAATTATACTTAATATCTTGCCGTTAAATTTTTTTTTATTCCGTTTTGGCACATAATTTTTTTTTATCAATTTGATATCTCGTCGTTAAAAAATTAACAAAACTATTGACGTGGCACTTATTATTTTTTAACGATGTCATTATATTATTTTATGGTATGACATCAATATCACCGTTAAATTTTTAATGACGGATACTGAAATGAAATTTAAACTAAACATTAGGTATGATTTTAAAAAATAATAAAGTTTTATTATCAAAACGGAACAAAATTAGTAATCTAGATACTAGACATGTGGTTTACTTAAAAATAGTACCAAGAGGCATAGCACATGATGTATAATTAAAAGTTAATAAAATGCTTGAAAGCCAAAGAAAATAAGTAAAATCTGAATCTATGTTGCAAGATTTTAGAAGTCGAAACGTGTGAGTAGAGAGTGTCTATATTTTGCCACAGTGTGTTTTAAGCTTCGTAGAGAGCAAAAGACGCCAACTGCCCATCTGTGTTTTGAAAACACTAATTATTTCAGTATGTGCGCAATAAGCCAAAATAAACCCACTGAATTTTGGAGGATAACTTGGTTAATCGAGTTAAAGGGCTAAATATGGTAGGGTTTTTTTTAATAAATGAAATGGGGGGTTTTCAACTTAAACAACCCAAATCTCCTTTAATGGATAAATATATTAAATTATTCTGAATTTGGGTTGTGTTAAGGTTACTTTTAGCTATGGAAAAGACACCACACCACTATCTGAATTACGCTATCAAATTAAATTTCTTACGCATACATTTAGATGTATATAATTGGCTGCTAGGTTTAGATGTCAGGTAAGCTTGCATCAACAGAACATCAGAAAATGGAAAATGCTGGTCAGCTTAATAAATTTGATCATCACAAACAACACTCATTATCATCTTGAATCACCTCAAATCCTCAGTTTTATGTTGTATCGTTTATGTACGAGTTTAAAGTAAAATTTATTAAATTAAAATATAAAGAATAAATACATGATTTATACAGAGTGAAATGATCGATAAAAAATTTAGAATAAATTATAAAATTGATTAATTTCGTTTAAATTTTATATATTTTTCATTGAATTCAAAAAATAATATGTATTTATTTTTATTTTTATTCAATTAAAATATATAAAAATTAAATGGAAATGATCAATTTTATAGTTTATTTTAAAACTTAATATATTTTATATGATTTGTGATAACATAATGATAAATAATGTAGGGATTAATTATAAAATTTACATTTATTTTATGTAAATAATAAATGGAAAAGGTAAGGAAAAAAAAAAGAAACCGACCTTAATAGCAATGACTGTTGACCTCACGCTTTATAAATATGAGCGTAAAAGTGATAAAAGAAAAATAAGAGTGAAAGTTGTGTTGAAGGAGGAAGAATGAGAAGGTCAAAACTCAATTTCGGCCTTCAAAGCATTTAGCGTCAGCCATTAAAAATAAGGGTAAAGTATAGTAATGGTCACTGAACTTTTCTAAAGATTTCATTTAGGTCTCTCAACTATTAAACTTACAATACAGTCCCCTAACATTTAGTTCATTTGCAATATGGTCCCCCAACAGTTACTTTGGGGACCATATTGCAAACAGACTAAATGTTGAGGGACCATATTGTAAATGGACTAAAAGTTGGGGAACTGTATTGCAAATTTTAAAAGTTGAGAGACCAAAATGAAATCTTTAGAAAAGTTTAGTAACTATTACTATACTTTACCCTAAAATTAAAGAAGACAATTCATACCATTCTCATTTATTTTCGGTTAATAATGATTCTTATTATCTGCCCAGAAATATATATATATAAAGCGTGAATCTAACGCCAATCTCTATTGGGTTTTCCATAAATTACGTAATTTATTCAACTTTAAAAAACTTAACAATACATTTGAGAAAACTATAAATATCACGTTTTTTAAAAAAATTAAATAATTTTATAATTAATGAAATGGACTCAATAAAATAATTAAACTGTAGTGCACAGTTTTAAGGAACATTAGTAAATTGAGGTATTCCGTCAGATATTAAAACTTTTTATTATTAATCTTTTTACTTAAAATATTCAAGCTAAACATATAATTATTATTTTTTATTATATATTTATTATTTTGTATATTTATTTTTTCTTAAAAAATATCCATTGTCCAAATTTAAAAAGAAAATAAAGGGAAAGTGAAATTTAGGTGCTTCTAGAGAAGAAATTACGAGAAAGAGCAAAGAATAAAAAGTAAGATTTTGGGTCTAAGGTCAAATTTAACTTCACTTGTAGGGTTTTGATTTTCTCTCCTATTTTCCAGGTATCTTTTTATTCTCTCCTCTAACTTTATTTATTTTTATCATTTTTTCCAATTTTCAACTGATTTCTCTAAACACTGATCTTCTCTTCAGTTTCACCGGTAATTCTGTGTTCTGTGTGCTGTTCACTATTATTAAGAATTTTCTTTTGCTTGCATTTGTTACAGACTTGAGATTTTATTTTTGTCGCTTTCTGTGTGGATGAATTTGCCGTAATGATTCAGCAGCTTGACTTTATTTTTCTTTTATCTTTAAGTTCTGTTCCCAAGAATAATTGAATTGATTTGATCCGCTTGAACGAATTGAGAACGAGGAAGATCTATTGTTGGATTTAATTTCTGTTGTAGTAGGCTTAAGAAATTCTGATTTTTCTTGAGAATATTTTATACCGTTTACTTTAATTGCTAATGTTAAGAAAGTTGAATTTCGTTGGTTTTTTTATTCTGTTAATAACATTTTGAGCATTTATATTTTTCATAATCTTGTTCTAGGCTAAAATTTTTAAGCACAATTCATAGTTTTTATGTGCTTTGGTGAATTTGAATCATCGAAGTTTGCACTTTTATCATGAGTACTTGATTGTGAATGTTAATAAGCTTAGATGCATAAAAAGAACAATTACATATATTTTCTCGTATTTGAGCTATTAATTTTGTCAATATATATATATCCTTTTTAAAATTTCATTTTATATTTTTGTTAAAAAAGTTTACAATATTTAGAATATAAGGGTATCAGGTTTTTTGATAGAGATTTGACTCTGGCGGTAGGTAGTCTTTGTGAACTGTGGGCTCATAAATATTGTTGATTGATAGATATGGGGTGGCTTAGAGCTGGGTCAAGTGTGGCAAAGCTTGCTATTAGGAGGACTTTGTCTCAGGGTGGATCTTATGCTGCAAGATCACGCTTTGTTCCTTCACAGAGTCGATATTTTCATACCACCGTCTTTAAATCAAAGGCACAGACTGCACCTGTTCCTCGTCCTGTTCCACTTTCTAAGCTAACTGATAGTTTCTTAGATGGAACCAGTAGTGTATACTTGGAAGAGCTTCAGAGGGCCTGGGAAGCAGACCCAGATAGCGTTGATGAGTCATGGGACAATTTCTTCAGGAATTTTGTTGGTCAGGCTGCCACATCACCTGGAATTTCAGGCCAGACCATTCAGGAGAGTATGCGACTATTATTGTTAGTGAGGGCTTATCAGGTTAATGGTCACATGAGAGCAAAGTTGGATCCCTTGGGTTTAGAGGAAAGAGAAATCCCCGATGATTTGGATCCAGCTCTTTATGGTTTTACTGAAGCTGATCTTGACAGAGAATTCTTTTTAGGTGTATGGAGGATGGCTGGATTTTTATCAGAAAACCGGCCAGTGCAGACGCTTAGGTCAATTTTGACTCGGCTCGAACAGGCTTACTGTGGAAGCATTGGGTTTGAGTACATGCACATTGCTGACCGTGAGAAGTGCAACTGGTTGAGGGACAAGATTGAAACTCCAACACCAATGCAGTACAATCGCCAGCGGCGTGATGTCATTCTTGATAGGCTTATATGGAGTACACAGTTTGAAAATTTCTTGGCTACTAAGTGGACAACAGCCAAGAGGTTTGGGCTAGAAGGGGGTGAAACCTTAATTCCTGGAATGAAAGAAATGTTTGACAGGGCTGCAGACCTAGGGGTTGAAAGCATAGTTATTGGAATGCCTCACAGAGGAAGATTGAATGTCCTAGGTAATGTTGTCCGAAAGCCACTTCGTCAAATATTTAGCGAGTTCAGTGGTGGTACTAGGCCTGTAGATGAAGTTGGGCTTTACACGGGAACTGGTGATGTCAAATATCACTTGGGAACTTCCTATGATCGACCAACAAGAGGTGGAAAGAGAATTCATTTGTCTTTGGTTGCCAATCCCAGTCACTTGGAGGCTGTGGATCCAGTTGTTGTTGGAAAAACTAGAGCAAAGCAGTATTACTCCAATGATCTGAATAGGACCAAGAACATGGCTATTTTGATCCATGGAGATGGCAGCTTTGCTGGACAGGGTGTAGTCTATGAAACTCTTCATCTTAGTGCACTTCCAAACTACACTACCGGTGGGACTATACATATTGTAGTCAACAACCAAGTGGCATTTACAACTGATCCTAGGGCAGGCAGATCCTCACAGTATTGCACTGATGTTGCCAAAGCATTGAACGCTCCCATTTTCCACGTAAATGGAGATGACGTTGAGGCGGTTGTTCATGTATGTGAACTAGCTGCCGAGTGGCGCCAAACCTTCCATTCAGATGTGGTAGTTGATTTGGTCTGCTACCGTAGATTTGGGCATAATGAGATTGATGAACCATCGTTTACACAGCCAAAGATGTATAAGGTCTGTCGGTGTATTTCCCTTTTTTGTTATTTATTGCTCCATTATACATGTTATTGTTGGTCATACCCTTATTATTTGTGTTTTAATATGTTTCTGAGAAATTGCCGGAACTTCACCTATGTAGTTCTTCTTTCTCACAGATCATTCGCAATCACCCCTCAGCACTTCAGATCTACCAAAACAAGTTGTTAGAGTCTGGGCAGGTAACACAGGATGACATTGGTAATATAAGTCAGAAGGTCAGTTCCATTCTTAATGAAGAATTTTTAGCTAGCAAAGATTATGTTCCCAAAAAAAGAGATTGGCTTTCTGCTTACTGGACGGGATTCAAGTCACCTGAACAAGTTTCACGTGTTCGAAACACTGGGTATGATGGCTTCTTTGCCAATTTCAACTTTAATTTTTGTAACTCTTATATGTACTTGATGAAACTTGCATGTTATGTAGGGTTAAACCTGAGATATTGAAGAATGTTGGCAAAACAATCACAACCCTTCCTGATACTTTTAAGCCTCATAGAGCGGTAAAGAAGGTTTACGAACAACGTTCACAAATGATTGAGACGGGGGATGGCCTTGACTGGGCTATGGGTGAAGCACTTGCATTTGCTACGTTGCTGGTGGAAGGTAACCATGTTAGGTTGAGTGGTCAGGATGTTGAAAGGGGTACATTCAGTCATCGGCACTCTGTGATTCATGATCAGGAAACAGGGGAGCAGTATTGCCCTCTAGACCATGTTATCATCAACCAGAATGAGGAGATGTTTACTGTCAGCAATAGGTAACCTTTTCATTGCTTTGAACTTTGTTAGTTTTTCAACCAATATAATACATTTTCTCTGATTAGGACTGTACAAGATTTGTGGTTATGTATTTGACTATTTGACGTGGAAATCCTTTAAGAGGAAAATAAGCCATCTACATTTTTACTTATTCAAGGAAAAATAGTAACAGAAAAAAAGAAAAGGACACCTTTATTTGTGTAACTATGTAATATTATGGTTAATTTGGAATCTATTTATACGTGTTTGCCAAAGAAATTGTCTTTTAAGTACTCGTTCCAAATTAAATATTAATTTTGCTCAACATTAGTGCTTAATTTGTTGAGAATTGTTCCACCTGACTGTACCATATTCTTGTATTGTGCTTTCCATGTGGTTCACAGCATGCAATGTGTAAAGGTTCACACTCTGATGTTTTTATCTTTCACCTGCAAATATGTTTTGTTTTCTGCTTAAGGTGGCATTATCCTTGCTTCTTGTACAAATTTATTTACCTGACTGAGAATTGTTAAATTGGGCATGTTAGTTTTGTGTGGCATTTGTCCTTTTGATCTTTTTGCTAATTCTGGAATATTTTCTGAGCATCATGTGGTCTTTGAGTGCAGTTCTCTTTCTGAGTTTGGTGTGCTTGGATTCGAGTTGGGTTACTCAATGGAAAATCCAAATTCATTGGTTATGTGGGAAGCTCAGTTTGGTGACTTTGCTAATGGTGCTCAAGTGATATTTGATCAGTTTATAAGTAGCGGGGAGGCGAAGTGGCTGCGTCAAACTGGTCTCGTTGTGCTGCTTCCCCATGGTTATGATGGACAAGGTCCCGAACATTCAAGTGCACGACTAGAGCGTTATCTTCAGGTATATTCCCCATGCGTTGTTCTTTACAGCCCATTTTAGCTTCGGCATCTTTTACTCAAATTTAGAGTATGATACGCAGTATGTATTTTTTTACATCAAAATTGAAGAAAAAAGGACTTGATTTTATACATTGATAACTACATTTTTATAAACTTTTGCAGATGAGTGATGATAATCCTTTTGTGATTCCTGAGATGGATCCAACACTTCGTAAACAAATTCAGGAGTGCAACTGGCAAGTGGTTAATGTTACAACACCTGCTAATTACTTCCATGTTTTGCGACGTCAGGTCAGCGCATCTAATCATTAATCTTAATGATATTTCAGCTTTGAGGCTAGTCTCTTGCCATTTCCTTATTGTATCTTCCTTCCTACCCCAGATACACAGGGAATTCCGTAAGCCTCTCATTGTGATGTCCCCCAAAAACTTACTTCGTCACAAGGACTGCAAATCAAACCTTTCTGAATTTGATGACGTCCAAGGCCACCCTGGTTTTGATAAACAAGGAACACGATTTAAGCGTCTTATTAAGGATCAGAATATGCACTCTGACCTTGAGAAGGGCATCAGACGCTTGGTACTTTGTTCCGGAAAGGTGGGTTATGCCCTTGGTTTCTGCTTGTTTTCCTCTTGTATGACTTGTAAAAGCTGTTTAATTCCGGAATTTTATAGCTAAGATTCATAAATTGTGTTTATCTTGTTCAGTTCCATCCTTAGTTTTCAGCAGGTTCAATGTTTCTGTTGTTTATTGTACGATAATCATACTCACTTATGTTTTCAGGTTTACTATGAGCTTGATGATGAGCGAAAGAAAAACAATGCTAGCGATGTTGCTATCTGTCGAGTGGAACAGCTTTGCCCGTTCCCTTATGACCTAATCCAGCGAGAGCTTAAGCGATATCCAAGTATGTAGTCCAAACTTAGACTAAGATTTGATCTATAGCAACACTCACTGAACCTAAATACATTATGTGAAACATTTTGATAATTTACTAGGATTGCTAATGAAAAGCTAGCCGCTGAACAAATTTCACTCGATTTATTAAAAGCAAATATTTTTCTTTCTTGGACTCCACCTCTTTACTTTATAAAGAAACTAGATGTCCAAGGTTTATGGGGTCATGTACTGCTCGGTTTAGTAATTTTTCACGTATTCCGATCCTTTGATTCTTTCCATGCTTTTTTGTTTTTCCTGATATCGAGATATTTTTGGTGTTACTTTCAGATGCGGAGATTGTTTGGTGTCAAGAAGAACCGATGAACATGGGTGCATACAGCTACATCTCACCTCGCCTTGCCACTTCAATGGCCTCTTTGGATAGAGGAGTCTTTGAGGATATCAGATATGTCGGTCGTGCTCCATCTGCTTCCACTGCTACTGGCTTCTATTCTGTGCATGTGAAAGAACAAACCGAGCTCGTTCAAAAGGCCATTCAACCCGAACCAATCAAGGCCAATATCACTATCTGAAGCTTTGCTCAAAATCATACATGAAAAACTATAGCATTGAAGCAATTCTGTCAAATAAGATCTGGTGCAGATCTTGAAAACTCTTTATCAGGGTTTGTTATTTTGATGGTCTGTCATTTTTCCGCTATTACTTCTCTTCCAAGGCACCACTACACGAAGGTGAACAGGTTATTAATTTTTTTTTAATTTGATGCAAAATTTCCTTTTGTAATATTCTGGTTGGTGTATTTTCATCTCTAACGTCATATAACAACGCATCAGTTTCTTTCTTAAGTTCAGAAACTGAGACTACCTTGCTCTTCACTATGCTCGACTTCTCAGGGGCTATTTGGGAAAATTGAGGGTTGAGTTTCATTCATAAATTCTCGAAATATGCGGACATGGAAAATTGCATTAATAAGAGTATTAATAAAAAGTGTTTGAACTATAACTAAAATAAGTGTTTGCATAAAATTTCACGTCTATCTATGATGTTAGGTATGATTTAAAAATAATAATTAGATGACTAAAACGGAAAAAAAGTGATAGTTAAGATTAGGGATTGCAATAAGTTGGGTTTGGTTTTTGGTCAACCTAGCCCGACCCAAAAAAATATGTATCCTCTATCATAATCCTACTCGACCTGAAAATTATATACCCTCCCCTGATTTGATCCAACTAGAAAATATATATCCTCCATCTAACCCGACCAACCCAAAAACATATATTATTCACCCGGCTCTGACCCGACGGTATAAAATAATGACTTAATTAAAAGAATAATGATTTTTAATGAAATTTCATTATTATCCCTGATTGGGTTCTGGTCAGAGTTTTTTTCACTCTCCACCCGAACCCGACCCGACCTCACTCCCTTAAATATTTCGACATAACCTGAACTCGAATTTTTTTTATAAAAAAAGTATCCATCTATTTTAAATTAAATTATCATGCCTAGTTAAGATACTAAACGTGTAACCTATTTGTTTATGGTATGACTTTGCAGCTATCTGATTACTGGACCAAAGTTCCAAGATGTTGCGTGTCAATTAAACTCATTATAATTTATAATCATCCTATATATGTATTATTGATATAATGGATGGTATTATCGTTAATGAATGGGTACAAAATCGCATTATGATGGATATTTAATTCTATGCATTAGACTTGTAAAGTAAATGGCTGTAATGTTGGCAGGCAGATTATTTGCGGAAGGTGCAATTTCGCATTATGATTTGGCTTTAAACAAAACAAGAGATTAGTCGTTTGGTAATTAAGACATGATAATGCATATACACGCAGCAAGTTTAAAGCCAGATTAGAGGCGTCAATGAGCTTATCACACTATGATTTGGATTGCATTTTTAGTTTATGCTTAAATCCAAGGGCATACATTTAAACCACTCAGTACGAAAAATAGAAATTTATGTTAAGGACGAACTTCTAAACTTTTAAAAATGAATAAATTTATAAACATGAGAGACAAAAATAATTTTAATAAAAATGTATAAAAAAATAAAAATTATATAATAATTTTAAATTTTTAAAGAACCATTCTTGCATCTACAACATATATGTCTAAATCCCATTGGCTAAGGTTTATAAAATCATTGAAACTCGAGGTCAAAATCAATGATTAAATTATTGATTTAGTGAAACGCTTAGGTCAAAATCAATGATTAAACTATTTATTGGTCATCCCACCATGTTTTTATTAAATCATTTTCATCTTTGTCATCACAATATCAATAAAAAGGTGCTATTAATGTAATCCGATTAGGATACTTTCTAAAAGTTTAGCGTGAAATTTATGGGGAATGGAAATAAAATCAAGGGTATATTACACAAATGGTCCTCAATTATAAGATGATATTTTATTGAATCCTTGTACAATTAAAGTTATAAAATAATCCTTTAATTATAAGATAATATTTTGTTGTGTCCTCTAACTAACTAACTTTACAAAATGGTCAAACGACTATTCATGTTCCAAATTCGTCCTTTCCTATTTAAAAAATTGGTGGCCATCTGAGCTAGATGTTAACTTACTGAGATATGATGAAATCTTATTCTAGAACCGTTTACGCTATATTTTATAGATCAACTTTCCATTTCATTATTCAGTCGAGCCAGTACTTGTCGAGCTAGTGCTTGAAAGCAACGACGATTTCAGTAGACATCATTAAAATATGATTTTATCATATCTCAGTCAACAAGTTAATGTTCACATCAAATGATCGTTAATTTTTTAATGAAAAAGGGCGAGTTTGAAACATATGGGCGACCTTTTTATAACTTTTAATCATTGAGGGCTCAATAAAACAACGTCTTATAGTCGGAGGATCATTCTAAAACTTTTAACTATCTAAAGATTAAACAAAACAACGCTCAATAATTAATGTATCATTTGTATACTTAACCCTAAAGTCAAATTATTAAATTTGTATGTATGGAAACCGAATTTGTTGGTTGTTGAGTTATATTTTCCCTTGACGTATCAAATTGAGGAATTTATTATTTAAAAGTCACCAAGTGTCTGCCTATGTTGAACCATTGGCCTTATTTTATGCACATTATGCGGGGGGTTATTATATTTTCCTTTCTCACTCTCTCATCAAACCCCAAACGAAATGCTTCATTTCAAGGTTGTAAACACGTCAACTAAATATTAATTTATGTTATTTTTAAATTTTCAACTAATGTCTAATTTCGAGTTCAAACTCTAATTAATTTATAAATGACATCTAATTATTAGATTAAATTTGATAATATAATAAATTCAAAACAAACATTAAAATAGAAAAGGTAAAAAAAATACGGCATAAAATACCATGTATATATGAATATCTATAAATATAATATATAAATCATTAAATCAAATCTTATATCAATATACGACTATAGCATGATAAAATATATAAACATAACATAAATATACTAATTATAGTATTAAAAGAAGGACACAGATCAAGCGATCTCAGTGATTAAATAATTAATTGTTATATTTAGAGATTTCGGATTTGAGTACCAACAATTGCAAGGTATTTGAGCCTTCATTTTCAAATGGTTGAAAGTCTTTAAAACAGATACTACCACTTATAAATACTTTGATTAATAAAAATAATAATATTAAAAGAAGAGTAAATTGCACTAATAGTCACTAAATTATTAGGGAGCTTTTACATTAATCACTAAAATTGAAAACTTTTCATTTAAATCAATAGGATTAAAAACCCAAGACCTCCAAAAATGTGAGGCAACACCCAATCACTGAGTTAACTAAAGGAGTTGTCAAATTAATAAAATATAGTATTTAAATTAAACTATGTTTAGTGAAAAATTAATAAAAAAATATATGAAATTCAATGGAAACATATTAATTTCATTAATAGTACATATAATTTATATTTTCATAAAATAAAAAATTAATTTCAATTATAGGTTATTAATATTATTTTTTATATTATATAAAACTCAAACAGTACTATATATTTAAATTATCAAATGTTATAATTTATATTTTCATAAAGTAATGTTTAATCTAAATATTTTATAAAATATAAATAAATTTTTAATTTAAATATTTTGTGAAATAAATTTCATAAAATATAAATTATAAACAATTTAATCTAAATATTCCATAAAATATTTTTAATGTATTATTTATTTAAAAATAAATGAATTCATGTTATGAAAAATATAAATTATAAATTAAATTTTATGTTTAATATAAAAATTTCATCAAAAAACTTTCATAAAATATTATTTATTTATAAAATAAAATTAATTTAATTATAAAAATATAAATAATATTTTGAAAATTATTATATTTCAGTTGGTGTTATTGTTGGGACTGTCGGCGCACCCCATGGCGCAGCGGAAACAAAACTCGACGGTCTCACCATCGATCCAAGTACGAAAAACTGAAATAGGGAGGAAGGGATGTGAATACTTACAGTGGGCTCCTTGAAAAACAACAAGGACAACAGTGAATATTGGTGGTGTAGATCTGTTCGAATCGTAAGCCTCCACGAAATCACGTCTCGGCCTTTACTCAGTTCACCCGATTGAGAGCAATAATTTTCTTCCCCAAAATAGTTTTGAGAGAAAAACGAACGAAGGTTTTGTGTGTGTGTTCTAAAAACAGCTGCTAGACCTAACACACCCTTTTATAGCCAAGTTACCCTAATCATATTAGGGTTTTTATTATTTCAAATTAATTAAATCTATATTTAATTAATTGGAATTTAATAATCCTTTTATATCCAAGTTACCCTAATCATATTAGGGATTTTATTATTTCAAATTAATTAAATCTATATTTAATTAATTGAAATTAAATATTCGGGATTATTAAAACATATATTTAATTAACTCTAGATATATTTTAGTAACGTACAACAAATTGTACATCTTTGCTCGTTTCAATCTTAGGGTGTGACCCTGTAGGTTCTTGTAACATTAGCAGTAATTATTATAACAATTCTAATATTACATACAATGAGTGACATCTAGCAATATATCAGTGTCCCCTAAGTTACAAGAAAATATAATTCGACATATCATCTTGGTGATTAACTCTTTTATGTATTACATCCTTATGTCCTTTATATCTAGAATAGGCACAAGTCTTGGAATAGTCACACTTGTATAGCCCATCTATTGTTTCTTGATATCTAAAGTAGACTTTAATTAACGAATAGTTTATGATATCTCATATCAACTTATTCGAGCATGGCCATGCGTTTCTAGTCTTACTCAATCAAGTGGCATGTGATATATTTCCTATTATGTAGGAAGGACAAATCATATCTTAATCATACACACCCGCTACATATATTGAGATATATTCAATAACAGTCTTTATAGAGCAACCAGTTACGGAGCTTGTTTAGCTGCATCAAAACATACAACAATATATGTTGGAATATTATTGATCTCAAGTCTGAGGATCATACATATAGTCATCACCATGAGCAATGTTATGACTGTCATATAATAATCCAAGACATATGCTCATGGTGGGTCAATCCAATACATTGTTCTCTAACAATATAATCATGTATCAATTCTGACATCTCTATGTCAATGACAACTTGTTGTCATCAATCAATAACATGTTAGTCTTAAGCGTACTATTATTGTACATGCCCATAATAATACTTGACTAGAGATCTTTTAATAATAACAATTATGTCATTATATGGACTTTATTATCTTCCGGTTTATGT